AGGTATTTTTTTGGAAACCGCATTCTGCAAGGTTCGACTGGGTTCTGCAGATATACATACATTCTTACATTGGCACATCCATGCACACGGTTGTGTTCATGTTAATGGAAGAGCAACTTGGAGATGTTTTAATGAAATTTCACCTAAAATTGTACCTTTCAGCTTAATGTAACGGTATAGAGAACGAGTGTTAATTCGTTTGGGTTTCGTTATCACGCAAATCGAACTTTTTGATGTAAAAGGATAGAGAGACAAGCTAACTGATCAAAAATCATTGCATTAGTTAATAGCCACCCAAATATTATAGCCCTGACAGACGACAGCGCTAATATGTATTAGCGGGCTTAATTTCGTGCATTTAGCTGAATTTACCAAATTTGGGTAGGCAACTGCTCAAAAATGGCAGATTTTTGCTATTTTTTGACAGATGTCGCTTTTACTCTGCTGCCTCCTTTGCGTTTAAATTATGTGCAAGTGTACTAACAAAAACAAATTTTAATATTTTTAGATGACAGAAAATAAACAATGCGTAGTTTGCTATCAATTTYACTCTATTATCTTTTGACGTAGTTAATAATAAACGCACTTTTTCGTTAAATTTATATTGATTTTCTAAAAATACCAAGATTTCTTTTAATAATTTATCTTGTTCATTTTTATTTAACTTTTTTAAATATATAAACAAATTTCACTATCAGCTGCCTAAATGCAGAAGTATGCCGTCTGTCAGGGCTATTAGGTCTCAAAAGGTGAATGACAATCTTAACCATAATAATAATAGTATGAAAGCAGGGATGATCAGAAAACATTTGTGAAATCCCAATCTAAAATCAGATACCACACGACTTTTCACTATGCAACTCTAGATAAAACGAATAACCACAACAAGACTCCTAACCTAATGTGTGAGAAAATATAAACATTTTTTCTTAAGGAAAAACAATAATTTATACAAAAATATATTATTATGAAAACTCTATATGAAATTTAAAACGGYAATTTGCCCTGGTTACAGGGTTTTAATGGTCACTAAAGCGATTAATTTCGAAGAAATGCCAACGCTACACTTATACATATGTATTTATATAACGGATGATTTTTTCTTTTAATTCTAACCCGAAAACAAGTTTTGTTAAAAATTAGTTACATTAATATGAACACAGCTGTATATCCATGGATATGATGTATGAGCGTACAAAACTTGCAAACTTGTTGCGTTTCAATTTCCTACTTTGAGATACATTAAACTAAGTGCGAATGCTGAAATATGTATGCATATATAAATATACATATGTATATAAGAGCATATTGATTTCTATGGCAAAAAATAGCATAGCTGAGAGAGGGAGAGTGAGAAAGAATGTATATGAAATATTTTCGAAAATTGTAAAGCAAAYTTAGCAAAGCGTGCAGTGGTACAAATGTTTTTTTTTGCTTTTAACCCTGATTTGCCAGACATATTAATATTATATGTTATAAATACTTTTAAAATTAAATATTTATTAGGATAAAATATTAGTATATATGGAAAATCATATACATAAATATTAAATCGTACTGAAGTATATTATTTTATTATTTACAACTTTCTTTTAACGCCTATTGCAGACATTTCATAATAATGCCATACTACGAACGAATACGAATACTAGACACATACATACATGTGTCACCAACTACTAGCACTTTGCCACGTGAGCAATGTAGTATTTTCCTGATAACAATACTAGTATATTTTATTGCGTTTTTTCAAAAAGCACTAAAAAAAGGTAACGAACTTACATAGATACGATCTTATATAAAAAAAAAACTCCAGGAATTAATAAATGAAATGAAAAAAATATATTTTTTACAATTTTTTTTTCATGAAATTAATGAAATGCCTTATTTTATGGTAACGTCAACGTTGCAGTACGTGAATTAATATCCCTCATTTTCTGCATTACACGAAACTACATATTTATTCACTTTTTTGAATAACTATTGCCTATGAAGAACATACCAGTATTTGAGTTTACTACATTTCAATGGGTCGTCACCGTCTTTTATCCACTTGTCTGTCACATGCATATGCTTCAGTGGATAAAAATTCAGTTTAGAAGGCTAAAAAAATAAAAAAAAAGAATTTGTTGAATTCTAAATTTTAATAATTTATAAAATTCAGAAAATAAAATTTATATGAATTGGACTGTTTTCGAGAATAGAAATATTGCATTTCGAAACAATTAAATAATAGTAGCTTTGATATTTTGAACCGACTCAATTCAAAGCAATGGTWGATTAAGAAAGAAATTAGAGAACTTATCGCGCTTACTTATGAAATTTTGCTAGTGGAGGGTTAAACCTCGGCCCAAGGCGTAAATGAATAATAACAATGTGGTTGAAGAAGAGAAAACTGCAATGCTAACCTCTGCAATCATATAAAAAATGAGTCTAATTGTTAAAGCACGCAAGCCTTTGTCAGTCTTGCATTTTCTGCACTTCCACTTCACACCTTTTCTACTTTAYTCGCTTCTTCTTCCACAATTTCATCCAATTTATTAGTTTATCCACCGAGATTCCTTAAGTTAGCATTTATTCGTTTCTTCCGATATTTACAAATCAGTTATGGTTATCAACATTTTCTGTTCCATAATAAGGGAATAATAAATGTACTGCAAAGAGTTTGAATTAGGAAAAGAGAATACCATATGTATGTAGATAATAAGAGACTCGTAAATTTCGTCAACTAAAATGCGAAATAACGTAACATCATTTTTCACAAGTTTACAGAAGAAGGAAAAAAAGAATATAAAATAGAAACTAATCGTATCGAAAAAAATTTGAATTTTTGTAAYAACTTAGGTGCGACTGCTAACTGAAGCTTATACTTGAATCAGTAAAACTCGATTTCTAACTTTTAACTATACTTTGTTTTACATATTAGTTGTTTGATATCTCCAACGAAAGCTTTCGACCTTGCTGATGTACTCTGTTGTGGGGAGTTGTTAAGCTCTCATGAGTGTTATCGCATTGAGTGTAAACCGCTAGTGGAGGCTTGCTTCGAACGGCTTGTCAGTGATCGCAGGAGAAACATGGCGATACATTTGTATAATTTTAGTATTCTTTGAGGTACCAACTAACTATGAGTRTGAGATGCTATTGCTTCGGTGATATCCGATCAACAACCTAAGAGAATTTTCTTCATTCAGAAAGGGTTATTGGTTTCATGATCAACTCTCTTTGTAGTATTGATAATGTTACGTATCTACATATATGTATATATTCATATATTACTTACATTTTGCGCAATATAACAATAAGGGTTCGATAATATTAAGCCCAACAAATAATATCTCCCCGTCTAACGAGCGTACCGTATTTATGGTGTATATGTACATATGWRTGTACATATATGTATAATATTTAAATATATGTACATATCTATGTAAGTGGACCCCACCAAATAATTTAGAATGACACCAATTGGGACAACTGGTTGGACAAAGATTTCTTTGGCTGCTTAGTATATTCTTTAAATATTCAATACTAAGGAAATTTTAAAAAATGCATGTACATACATATAACAAGTCCGGGCCTTCCGGTCGGAAAATTGCTCCAAAAGCCTGACAGTGGGATTTTCTTTTTAAATTGTATATGTTGAGATTAAAAAAATGAACTGATAAGAGAGAAAACACACGAATAAATGAAATTAGCTCAATGCTTATTCAAACCCTTAATGGTCGCAAGAGAAAGAACACAGTTCACATTCTTATGTCATATTTTATTGTCTGGTTATCGAACATAAAAAATAAAAAAAAAATAACAAATTTATGTAGACAGTGGGCATAGCTAAGATAATAACATTTTAATTAATCTGCCCACACTACATATGTTTGGTTTTRGATTGGACAATTTTCGCAAATCAATCCTTACTTGCTAGCTTTAAACCATAGTATAATTATATTTTATAACTTTCTATGTTATAACAAACGTAATTGTGGAGGAATCCATAGCGCACAATTTTTCGATCTTGATGAAATCAAATGCTCTCTTTAATTTTGTACTACTGTGGGCTATATATAAGGTCGTCTATTAGAAGAGTGGATAAATTTATGTGCTTGATTATTACCTCTGAATACCTGAGCACAAAACAGATGCGAAGGGCTGCCGCCGGTCGAACGAATTTTATAAGTGTGTAAATTCAGGGAGACATAACTGCAAATAAATGAACTACAATCGTGGTGAGAGCGACGCTTTCGAGGTAATAATAAACAAAACAAAATAAAGAGTTTGTCGAATAGTGTTGGATCGGTCAAACTACTTCGAACCTCTTGGTTCGTGTGTAACGACAGCATGGACTGCACAACAGTGCCGTAACAGGAAAGTTAGTTGCGGACTAACAGCACTGTATACAGTTTAACATTGCTCTGTTGCCGCATGCACTCGCTGTATTGCAACGACAATATTCTAACGACAATAAATGAACAAACACAGAAAGAGACCAATACACAGCGACAAGCATAGATGTGTTCATACACATTGGCTATAGCACTTTCCGACTGAGCTGCAAGCGGTTGGTTGCGACGTCTCGGGGACGTGTAGGAGCGCTTATATAGTTGCCAGTTGTTGCTGCATTTCCGGAGGTGTTCATTTATACATATGTATATATGCACTGAACAAGTGCTTGCGGTGGTGGCTGCGCAACAACTTTTTGGGGTAATGCGCCRGTATGCACTCGTCTCACCGCTAAGGTAACAACTATGTTAGCAGAACAACAAACCGACAGAGAACCGACACATGTGAAGAAATGCATTTAGATTAACAGCAACAGCAAAAGTAACAGAAACGGCAACTTACAGAAGCAGTTGCAGCCTTAGCTCTTGAGAGTTTGCATTTAATTGGGTTCTGTCGTGTTGCTGTATAGTTATACACCCTCCGCCAGTTTGTCTATCGTGTCTGAGGTCTGTGCAGTGACATTGTCATTGACAGCAAACAATTCGCCAAAACGAGCCGACTGCACTACGGTCATCGGCCACACAACAAGCTCCAAGCAACTTTTTAGCAACGGCAGCACCACCACAACTACTACACCCTTTATCACGGATTGTGCATTCGCACATCGTTACCACTATGGCTAGAGCACTCGGGAACAACTCAATTCACAGTGGCTAGCATCGCAGTGCCTTGAGTCGACAACTTGGACACTGCACACCACATTCGCAGTTCTGTGCTGTTACGCTGCGGCCGGTCACCATTCGCATCCGCATTTGCCTCACACGTTGTTCCAATTCTTTGCTCAGCAARTTCAAGTTGAATTAATAGTCAAAAACGAATTCGTAATTGATGTTGATGTCGTTGTCGATGTTCATGTCGCCGCTTGTTCTCCGCGTTGTCTAACGGAGTTCGTGTTGTATTTTGCAAGAATAAATAMAAAAGTGCCGCCTTTGTTACTTCTGCGCTTTAAGCAACTCCTAAGCGTATTGCATCGGTCATTGGACATATGTATGTATGTATAAGTGTGCCAAACATTCGGGATTGCGATTTTACATGCGCTGTCGTTCAAATTTGGTGTTCCGTGCGATCGCAAACTAACAGTAACGTTCTTCGCTGACATTACCAATAATCAAAGGGTGTTTGGGTGCGTTGTTACTTTGGCTTTCGCCGTCGGGGAATTAATTCAAATATTTTCAGTTTCGATGGAAGTGCAATCGGCGCCACGATCAGTTATTGTTTAAAAGTCGATTACAAACATATGCACATTTAAACAGAAGCTCATTGATCGAAGCCGATCCTTTTCGTTCGCAAAATAAAGTTTACGGAACTTGTATATTGAAAGGGTTGCTGTCAACTTCTACCTAAAAACTGAAAATTATAAAAATAGTGAACAAACATASAAAAGAAATGCAATATCGCCAATGCAATTAAATATTAATTGCTAACCATGTGCAATATAAGGATTGTTCAAAAAATTAAAGATTAAGGAGAGTGCGTGAYTTATCAACAAGATATTGTAAGTTTAATTTCATTGCCAATGAGTATAMATTTTTTTTTTTAAATTGTAAAAGATTTGAAGAAATTGTGCAGAGAGCAAAATATCTCCACAGATAGCATTTGAAGTTTGTGGGCGGAGCGAAATCGATGACACATTTGCAAACATTTGTAACAATGAGTTTATTGTTATCTGCATATTTATATTATGATTAAAATGTGCGGTATAGAATTTAATTGCTTACTATACTTGATTTATTTCATACATTTAGATATACATATCATATTTAAAATAAATACTTATTATCGATACTTAGTTAAATTTTCCGTGAGTGTTTCTGAAATATAAGGTGATTTATCCTTATTTTGGTTGTGTCTTTGGAAGTTATCCTACAAATTGCTGATCCTGCAGTTCAAAGGTTCCTCGTTGCTTTCAGGTTGGAAATCAAATACATGAAATTTGCTGTTTGATTCTTTAGCAATTCTAATCTGAGAATTGGTTGTGGTATTACGGTTTTCGACTTTGTGCCTGTGCGTTTGATTGGAGTAGCAACAAATTCCAAATGCTACCAAGCAGTATTACTGCGTTTATTTAGGAAAAATGTTAATAGAAAAGAGAAACTGGGAATAGATATTTTATTTATAAATTTAAGCTCTTTAATCAGTTGGATGAATAATACATAGAAAGGTGGATAGTTTGTTGAGCCTCCCGAAACAACCTACAATTTGGAAACATTTATTCAAATTTTCGTGAAAAATAACAGTTTAATTATTGGTGAAAAATTTTAATTTTGTGTTGAGGTGATTAATTTGCGTACATACATATGAGTTAAAAAAGACGATGGTGAAATCTATGRGCTCGCAAATAATTTTATACCCGTATTTTGAGAAAATTCATTATTTTTCTTAAACGTACTTAGTTGATAACAGAAATAGTAATGGTCGTCCCCGAGAAGTTCGAACCATTCGGAAAAATCCACTAAAAAACGGAAAAATATATCAATACTCAGAATAGATCAGAAGTTGTCATCGTCCATGCTTGTGCACCATATAGCAGGATTGTTATTGGTTTAATGCTGGTTCCATGTTGCGAATACGGTGACTGTTTGATGAGAGGAGATATTTCGTATTGTCCTCATTCACAATCAGGTTGAAGGTGGATTTCAATCTATTGCAGACTA